GGTTCTTTTTCTGCTTGATTAGTTTCCATCAGTGGTGGGTTTCAATTTTTTTAGAACCTCTTCTGTAGGTGTGGCCTGCTTTGTGGGAGTGGCTTGCTGGCCATGTGATCAGGTGGGCATGGCCAACTTGTAAAATGTGGTGGGACTCACTTAACAATGTTCTTGCTTAGCAACCAAAATGTTAGCTCAGAAACTCTGACATTTGAAGCACGCAAGTCTTAAAGCTGTCAAGTTACAAGACCCTTGCACCCCTAACTGTTTAGAAAAAAAAAATCCAGGGATGTTCAAACTTGAGAGTTTTAAGACTTGTGGACTTCAACTCCCAGAATTCCCCCTCTTGCTCTTCATCTTGATGATGTGCGGACAGGCGGGAGGGAGCTGGAACCGGTTCTAAACGGCACGGTAGATTTGTGGAACCTCTTCTATAGAAGAAGTTAGAACTGGCAGGAACCCACCTGGTTTCCATCCATTGTTTCTTAGCCTGCCCTCTGGTGCTTCAGAAAATAAATTGATCTCATCCTCTTTGTTGCAACCTCTCAAACACTGGAATATTGCTATCATGTCCAGTGATGGGATTCAAATGTTTTTACTACTGGTTCTGTGGGCGTGGCTTGGTGGGCGTGGCAGGGAAGGATACTGTAAAATCTCCATTTCTTCCTGATCAGCTGGGACTCAGGAGGCAGAGAATAGATGGGGTTGGGGCCAGTTACTGGTTCTCTGGAATTGGTCAGAACCTGCTAAATACCACCTCTGATCATGTCCCAGTAGTCCTTCTTTCTCTAGACTAGCCAAACCCAAATCCTGCCACTGTTCTTGATATGTTTTAGTCTCCAGGTCTTTAATCTTAGTTGCTCTTCTTTGAAAAAAGTGTAAAATCTCAACATCATTTTTTGTAATGTGACCAAAATTGGATGCAGTATTCTAGGTATGGCTTTACTAAGGCTGTATAAAGTGGTACTAATACTTCACATGATTTTGATTCTATGCCTCTGTTTATGCAACCAAGGATTGTAATAGTTTTTCTGGCTGCTGCCACACACTGCTCATTCATGTTTAAGTGATTGTCCACTAGGACTCCAAGGTCCCTCTCACAGTTACTGTTTTTGAGCCAGGTTTCACCTAATCTGTACTTGTATGCTTGGAAACCATGTCACTAATGTATAAGGACATGGTAGCTCAGCTTGTCGATCAGAAAGGTTGGCAGTTTAATGGTTCGAATCCCTAGCGCTGTGTAACGGAATGAGTTCCCTTTACTTGTCCCAGCTTCTGCCAACCTAGCAGTTCAAAAGCATGTAAAAATGCAAATAGAAAAATAGGAACCACCTTTGGTGGGAAGCTAACAGCGTTCTGTGCACCTTCAGCATTTAATCATGGTGGCCATATGATCACGGAGACATCTTTGGACAGCACTGGCTCTTCGGCTTTGAAATGGAGATGAGCACTGCCCCCTAAGTTGGGAATGACTAACGTATATGTGCGAGGGGAACCTTTACCTATACCTAGTGTAATAACTACAGTGATTCACTTAACTATTGTGGCAGGAAAGGTTGTAAAATGGGGCAATACTCACTTAACAAATATCTCACTTAACAACATAAATTTTGGGCTAAATTGTGGTCTTAAGTTGAGGACTACCTGTATATTTCTTATTATCCCATCTTGCCTTTAGTTTATTTATTTCCCACCTTCATTGTTTTTACTATTAACTCAAGACTGCAAACATTTTTCTCCTCCTATTTCTCCCACAATAACAAGTTGTGAAGTAGGTTGAGCTGAGAGAGAGTGACTGGCCTAAAGTCAGCCAGCTGGCTTTCATGGCTAAGGCAAGACTTGAAACTGAAATATAACATCTTGATCCAAAATCTGGCTGTGTTGAAGGTGGTTAGGGAAACCTAATCCCTAACTTCAGAAGCTCATTTTTTAAAATAGGGCTGATTAAATGTTTAAATCATAGAACTTTTATGTGTAAGGTTTTTTTTAAGGCAGCACTGGGACAAGGATTCTATTTTACAGATAGTGGTATCTAGCTTATCTTTTCTGCTGATGCAATTAAAAAGAATTAGCAATAATAATAATTTTTATAAGATGCTTTACAGATGGCATTTGCCACCGGCAAGATTGGTAAAGATGTTTAAAGATAAATCAGCTAAATGTTGGAAATGTCGTCAGACACCTGGCACATGTGGTCAGACATCACATGTCCATGTGGTGGACATGTGTAGAAGCTAAAAAATATTGGATAAAAATATGCAAGTGATTGGAAAATATGATAAAACAACATATTGACTTGAAATCTGAAATATTCCTATTGGGAATCTTACCAGAAACTTAATAGTAAAGAAAATGTATATTTGATTATTCATGTAATAACCACAGCT